CTGGTCGTATGTGGTAATTACTCATTAAATGAATTATGTTTTTCCGCAATATAAATTGTATGTTAATATGATAGGTGTAAAGAGTATTTTCAAGGAATGATTTAAGAGGGTTTTAAGTAAGATGAGGAATGTATATAAGAGAGGATTTAAATAAATGAAAAAAAAATCAAGGGTAGAATTTCGGTCCTTACAAGATCAACAACTACAATGCAAAATCTAAACAATATAAGGCATAATACAATTGTTAAAAATTAAAAGATTCACAAAAAATTAAAGTTGGCTTGTAATTTGTTTTGTTTATAAAATTAAGAGTGCAAAATAATGAAAGAATCAGTAGTGTTATAATGATGGGTTGGTATTTGAGGATGATGATTGATATGCAACAACAAAAATTAAATAAGTCAAATGCTTAATGGAAGAGTGTATTACTTAAATAAATAAGCAAGGAAAATTAGTGATAATTAGTTTAGCCAACGTTCACAAAATTAATCATGACAATTTGTAGTGTTTAGTTTTTGAAGTCTATAGGGTATTAGAAGTATAATTTATAAGTATAGTTTAAAATAAACATGTGTTATAATTCATCACGTTGACAAATCTCATAATACAAATCTTGCACTGTCATGTTTGTGAATAACCTTAATAGTCAGATTGTACCTACATGCCTCGACCAATTCCCACAACTCATTACTTAGGAGCATAGAGTAAAGGTCCCAATCCAACAATTTGAAAGTAAATATCAGATATTAGAAATCCCCAAAAGACAATACCAGTAAAAAAAGAAAGGGTGAGAACATTATGGAAATCCAATTCAATAGAGTAAAGGTCTCAATCCAATTCCAATTTGAAAGTCACTATTAGATTTGGAAACAAAAGACACGCTCGCCAACAATATGGAAATCCCCAAAGATTCAGTAAAGATTTAAACTTTCTTCTATATTTAGTAACAATTCCAATTTTCTTCTAACTATTCTCAAACAAGTGAAAAAAGAGTTTCAATTTATATGTTGGGGTTGTTTTGAAATTTGAAGGGTGATAACATAAGTCCCTAATAAGTCCTTTGAAGATATCCTTAGTTAAATTGGAAAGTAGAGAATAGTTACAAATTGAAGGCAAACAAAAATATAAATTACAAATTGGAAAGTGTAAAGTGTAACTAAAATATAGTGTTATAATATCATTATGAATTATGAATTATGAATCATTTGGATTGGATTATGAAAACATCAGATTCTGTGTTGACTTCAAATGCATAGTAAAACAGAATCCAACATAACCATTAAGATTTTCTGGGAAAACAGGAATAGTGATAAGAGGTCTTACCATACATCCAATAGAATCAATGGTTGTAGCATCATCATCATCTAACTAAAGAGAAGAAAGAAGAATTAATAAGAGGGTGTAACAGAGAAGCATAAAAGGTAATAATGATGCTGGAAATGAAGTAGTTGAACATAGAGTGAGTGCAGGACAGTGAGAGAAGAAAGTAAAAAATAAAGTGTGTGAAAAAGTGTGATGTGAAAATGGAAACAAAGACAACATAATGAAGAAATCCATAAATTCTTGAATTTTGTGCAGTTGCATGAGAGAATGAGATTAATGGTTTTAGAATATTTCCAGTAAAATAAAGTGCATGACTTTGTAGCACAATAATTCATAATCCAATCCAAATGAAAAACTTTTCTTAATTGTTATTACCTTTGAAGGATGAAACATTTAACAAACGTTCAATAATTTTGTCATCGACAAAGTTATCATTCACAACAAGAGAAGTGAGTCAAAAGTATTCTAAAAAATTGACACAATAAAATGAGAAAAATAAATTCATTATGAGAAATTAAAGACTCAAAGAGTATGCATATGTAAAATAACACAAAGAAGTTTCAAGTAAGTTGTAATGGGAAATCATACCAAAATTGTTATTTTGAAATTATACCTTCGAATGAATGAAGAACCCAACCATTTGTTGAGGAAAAAATCATATCTGTCAAAAAACATAAGAAATAAATGGTAAGTCTTATTTTGGAAAAAAATGAAGAGAGATTGAATGAAAAATTATGGAGTAAAAAAATGATATGATCTATGAAAGAGATATTGAAGAGAGAGAGAGTGGTGGAGTAAAATGAAGGAGAAAAGTGAAAAGTAAATGAATGGAGTTGTTACCCAATAATGTCATTTCACGTCTGACGCAATTAATGCTTTGTTTTTAAGCATGATTTGAACGGCTCATTTTGAACCGTTGGATTAGAATACAGTACAGTGAACAAAAAACTTTCGTTCAAAAACATAATTGCATTAAATGAACATTACAATTTTAACCCTACTAAACAAAGATAAATATTGAGAGATTGCATATCAGTAAAAAAAATCAAAATGGAAACAAAAAATGAGAGAAGTGGAGAGATTGCATGTTACCTTAAAGAAAGAGATGAATGTTATCAATAAATGGTCAAGTTTATAATTCATTAAATATAATTATGAGCTATAAATAACAATTAATGTTATCAATGTAAGAAAAATGAATGGAAAAAAATAAGAAATGAAACGTTTAGAATGAAAATGGAGAGAGTACAGAAAATTAATGCAAAATAATGTGGAATCGTGCCAAGTTTTAAAATTTGAAAATGATGCAAAAAAAATTACTTTTTTCTAGGAGTGTCATACCTATACAATTTTTTATTGCAATAAATAGTCTCTTCCATTATTATTAAGATAGTAGATAAGATGATTTAATTGTGTTTCCCAAACAAAACATTAACATGCAACAATGGAAGTCATCTTCAAGAATATCTAAATCAATATATTATACTATTCAATATCAATAGAAGACATATTCATTATGGGAAATCATAGACCATTAAAATGAAAAAAAAATATTCATTGTTTATAGTATTTAACATTAGTGAAAGATATGACAGGAAAGGGGGGGAAATTGAAAAGTAGGAATTAAATTTTGCAGATCTGTAAAAAAAATCAAAATGGAAACAAAAATGAGAGAAGTGAAGAGATTGAATGTTAACTTAAAGAAAGAGCTGAATGTAAATATCATGCAATGTGAGAAAGATGGAGAGGTGGAGAGATGAATAAGGTGATATTTTTACCCGTGGAGAGATGAAGAGGTGGAAAGATGATATTTTTACCCGTGGAGAGATGAAGAAGATGATACAACAAAATATGTTTAAAACTTGTGATTTTTATGACAAATAAAGAAAAATATAACGATAAATGAGGAATATGTTTACCTTCAAGAAGCTGATATACAAAATGATGAATACCTTTTACCTCGAACAAAAATGATTAATAGAAAATGGTGAATATAATCAAAGTATAAACAAAAATGATGAATATGTGTACCTTTGTGAAGATGGATGATGAAGATGAAGATTTTAAACTGAAAAAGAATAGAGTTTGAGAGCAAATTGGTGCACAAAGAAGAAGATGAAGTGAAGATGAAAGAGATCAGAATGTTGAGAGAGAATGAGAGGTAAGAGTAATGAGAGAGTGACAGAAAAGGGGAAAGGAAAAGTTATAGTGTGAGAGAAGGGAGTTTACGAAATTAACCCTTGTGTGAAAGACAACTTTGTGTAAGGTAAAATGATATTTTAGTAATTGTCCGACTGCAATAATAAATGGTGACAGTACCATGTAATAATTGAAACGAACCAATTTACGAAAATAACTTTTACTCAGTAATATAGAAGTAGGATAAAGTGAGGGTTTTTTAGTAAATATGGTTTTCATTATTTAAATTTAGGAATAAGCAGATGACCTTTTTACCCTTAAAAAAGTCACGTGTCCATCATAAGAGATATCCATTTTGGTAATTTCACTAGCCCCTTCAATTAATATAGATATATAGATTTTCTCTAATCATCTAAAATAATAAATATCCCTTTGGAAGTTTTTGTCTACTTTTAGATAAAACATGATCAGACCTTTTGGGCAATAATTTAATTAAGATTTTAAAAAGTATAATACGCTTCCATCAAGGTATAGTGATAAATTACTTTTTGTATATTATTTTTATTTAAGAATTAATGATGATCAATATTACGACCACTCAATTTTAATGATTCTATTTTTTTTTTATTTTTTAATTTTTTAATTAAAGATTAAGAAATAAAATTATAAATAAATAAGGGATATTGATTTAAAACTACTTAATTTCAAATTCTAATTCAAACATCCCAATCTCTTTTTTAAATGAAAAATAAAAAAATGTTTAAACTGAACACCCATTGGTTCAACTAGGAGAGAACATGACCCGACCTTACCTGTTCATCCGGTATGACAAGATCATAATCCGGCCTGAATAGGTTCGGGTCTCATCGGGTCTAGGTTTGAGTTCAAAAATTAGACTCAAGTAAATATTTAGGGTCAGGCAGGGACCAAGCATGATCCGTCTCGACCCGACTCATGGTCACTCACTCATAATGTTTGTATGTGTCTCTATTCAAATGTATACAAAGTAATGATATTTTTGTTGTTGAAAGTATCATTGATTCTCTAATTTTTCATCATATCTAAAATTAGTATACATTATATTTAATCGGGTCTAGGGTTGGATTCGAGTTTAAAGATTGACCTTGTACATATTTAGGGTCGGGTTAACTTCGGGTCTATAATCGGGTTCGAGTTCAATAAACTAACCCGACCAATATTTAGGATCGGGTAAGGACAAGCCTTAACCCGTCCCAACCGGCCCATGCTTACCCCTAGGTTCAACCATGAGAGATACAATTTCATACTATTTTCCCTCAATTTTTACTTACCCCTAATATTAAGTTTATTTTGTAATAAAAGTTGTGTCATGCATTACTTGATGGATAATTTTATTGGGAAACCTGATAAAATGTGTGGAAAAATATATCATAACCATAATCATAATAAGAACATAAATCTAGCACAATTGTAGTACAAAATCTACTATGCTACACTTCTACTTTTGTTGGAGCTTTTAGCTCTAAAGACAAGATTTGAAAAGGTTAGTGAGTGAAGCATAAGGGGTGGTGGCGCAGTTGGCTAGCGCGTAGGTCTCATAGCTTCGAGAAATCCTGAGGTCGAGAGTTCGAGCCTCTCTCACCCCAAATATTATTTTTATTTATTTAACATAGCATTACTCATTCTTTTTATATATCAACAAAATGGACTTCATATACACATTTTAATCCTTCAATTCTTTTTTGTCATTACTCTAGTTTACCCTTCATTCTCTCAAAACTCTGCCATATCCTCCATTAAATAATAAACCTTCTCGAATAATGTTATATCCTCATATTAATCATCATATCCACAAAAAAATAACATATGTCACAAAGTAATACTTTATTTATTAATGAATGGTTTATAAGTGACATATGTCACTTTCTTGTGGGTATGAGGATTATTAGGAGGATATATCGTTTTCCAAAAAGAATACCTCAAGAGTAGAGAACCTATCACTTTTCATGCACTACTACTTTCCCATACAAACTTGCCTTATTTTGAGCAAAACAATAACTGGGGCATGCAAAATCTCTAAACAAGGGAAACTATTATTTCATTATCAATTATTGATGGTTTACATAATTCATTTTTCTCTAAAAGCATCACATCTAAAAAATCATACAACTAGTGTATAAATTATAATTCCTACAAAAAGCACAAAAGTTCCAATGAAGGAAATACACCTCTCTGTCTACAAGAACTAATAACCTATATCTACCAAAACATCCTGCCAAGTTCTCCTCAGGGTCAAAAATACATATAAAGAACATACATGTTCCCACAAAATATCATCTACTTGTTGTGGCAGTCTTGCCTTTGCTTAAATCAGCAAGTTCTTCAATAAGTTTTCTCTCATCGGCGCTCAATCTTTTAGGGATTTCAACTTGCACACGGACCAATTGATCACCCCGCATGTTGCTTTTATTCAGCCGGGGAACACCTTTCCTAGCCATAACAAGTGTCGAGCCTGGTTGAGTCCCAGCCGGGATTTTTAAGTCTACCATGCCATCTACAGTAGGAACCTTAGTTGTAGTCCCCAAGATTGCATCAATATAAGAAACCTTACAGGTGCATAAAATGTTGGTGTCGTCACGTTTAAGGACAGGGTCGGGGATAACTTCAAGGATAACAAAGAGATCGCCTGGAGGACCTCCACGCCTTCCAGCATTTCCTTCATTTTGGACCCTTAATCGACTACCAGAATCCACTCCAGCTGGAACCTTGAGACTTATCCGCTTTGTTCTCCTGACTCGACCATCCCCGGAACATGTATTGCAAGGTGTGGAAGTTTCTCCAGTCCCATTGCAGGAAGAGCAGGTCATAGTCTGCTGAAAGATACCTAGTGGAGTCCTTGTTTGTGAGACAACACGACCTTGACCTGCACAAGTGCTACATCTGGATGACTTAGTCCCTGGTTTAGCCCCTGTACCATTGCAAGTTCCACAGCTCTCCAATCGTCTAATCTCTATCTCCTTCTCTACTCCAAAAACTGCTTCTTTGAAGTTTAAAACTAGACTGTAATACTCATCTTCACCTTCAACTGCTCCATTCCTAGAACCTCTGGAGTTCCTGCCACCACTATTCATGCCCTCAAACAATGTCTCAAACAGGTCAAAGGGATTGTTGAAATCCTGAAATGGTAGATATAATCCTTCTATGAGAAACACAAATAATGTATAACACCAATTAACATAAAATAAACACTTTCCTCATTAGGTGGGTTAGCTTCGTGGATAAGTGACACCATTATGCTTTATCAAAAAACAGTCTTCAAACAACAGGAATATGTGATAAGAAAATGAAATTCTACATCATTGTCAAAAGAACTTACCCCCATGCCCCCCATTCCTGCTGAACCTTTAAGCCCAGCCTCTCCATAAGTGTCATATATGGATCGCTTTTCATCATCTGATAAGACCTGCAAAAGAATTTAAACTACTGAAGACCGATTACCATTAAACATGAATAAGGGCCAGCTGCATTCAATAGTAGTAGTTTTACCTCATATGCATTGCTAATGTCCTTAAACTTCTGTTCTGCACCAGGTTCTCTGAAGCATAAAATGAATACACAGAATAGCTCAACAACATGCAATATTAATTAAATGATCCCGAGGACACGAAAAAATTATGCAGCTAGTAAAACTGACATGTGAAGGGGTACTTGGCAGGAAGATTTAATCTATCAAGCTTTTTTTTCTAACAAGCTATTGATGTAGTGTATGAAAACAATTTTTCGAACGGACGAAAATCAAGCATTATGACTAAGACATCCAAACCTCACCTAAGGCAATAGTAAGATATAAAATAAAATAAAAAAACAGGGAAAGATAATAGTGGGACGGGCAAGGCAAAGAAATGGTATTATAAAGTAGATGTTCAACACAAAAGAGGGTAGGAAACTCACTTGTTCACATCTGGATGATAATTTCGGGCAAGCTTCCGATAAGCTGAAATATCAAAAGCAGCGAATTTTGATGTTGCAATGACAACAGGCAAATAACCCACAAAAAATATGCATAATCAAGTAGATCATATGTAGGACCTGGTTAATAAAAATTTCTTAATCACGATCATCTATCATTAGCCCTAATCGTTGATGCTCTCAATCCACTAACTTTAAACTTCCTTTACAAATCTATTGCACATTACAAAGAAATGAAGTAAATTTTGGTCTCAGCTTCTAGAGTATTGGGTGGAAAGTTCCCTAGAGGATCATGCATTAGAATTGTATTTAACATTTTCTCTATTAGTCTACACAAAAGCCTCATTCAAGCAATAATGAGCAATCAAAGGTATCAAAAGTGCGTGCAATTTAAATAATTTGATGGAGCTTAATAAAAAGAACTAAAGCATGTGACTGGGAATTCATGCAAACCAGTTTTTATATAAAGATAGTCACCCTGTTTTAGTTCTTCTGGTGCAAACGTTCAAGTGGTCACTTTGTTTATGTTCTTCTTATCTAGAGTATCTGTGCAGTCAATCTATATTGCTCCTAAGGCAAAGAAGTATATTGAAAGGAGCAGAATCATGTATAGTTAAGCTTTTGTTGATGTGTTTCTGGATTGTATGATAGATTACGATTGATAATTCGAAAATCAAACAAATAGTTCTAAATACAAATTCGGATTGGACAATAACGGGAGGCAGTAGGGACCGCAGAAACATACCACTCTTAATTTCGGATTTGCTAGAATTTTTTGACACTCCAAGGACAGAATAGTAATCCTGGAGAATTGCACAAAACAGGTATTCAGTCTAACATGTTGCACGTTCATGAGGATTATACAATTTAAAGTGAGAGGAATACTTTCACATGACAGAAATTCCCCAAAAAAACAAAGGAAACGTTGCTTCGAAATGAATAAGTTAACTTACTGCATCTGCTCTAACTATCAACATCGATCCCCTGCGGTGATGCAAAGATGGAGATGAACCCATGTTGTATAGTGCACGCAAGGAATCCCCGGAAAAAAAGCTCGAACTTGAGGCAGCCATAAACCCCGTCCTGCTTGTAACACTGCAGGGAAGAGAACTTAAGTATTTACTGAATAAAAAGCTACATAACATTATTAATATTTAACAAAACAATTAGTATAGAACAGCCCCTAATCACTAAGAATCTTGAGTATATCTGCAAAAACAAAACAAAGCTACTTGTACCAACAATTAAGTAGCATTTGTAAACGTGTCATGACAATATGGTACAAAACATACAGGTTCTGTTATGTGTTTGGTGTAGTTAATGAATATAACAATAAAATAGAACATGAGAATAAAATTATAACATTTTGGTTCCAAAAGTGGACATCATGTTTCATCCCATTCTGTTCTGTGTAATAAAATCGAAATTTGAACCCAATTTAGGGTTAGAAAACATAAAGCAAGCATAGAAGCTTCAAATATTGAAAGATAAGACTCACTTTTGGGTGGAAGATGATGATGCAACCTTGGCCATGATACTGGATTTGGTGAAAATATGAGGAGGAATTCCCCATTGAGTAGAAAATGTGATACCAAAAGGTGTAATAGCCATTGTTGTTGGTGGTGGTGAGATAATGAAGGGATAGAGTCTTCACTCACTGAAATGAACCCTACCTCTCTCTCTCTCTCTCACTCACTGAAATGGGTATTTTATATAAATACTTACTATATTCTTACCATTAATTTATTTCCTTTCAATAGGACCCTAGTGCAAGATCCACATAAATGGGGACACTCACCCATATAGGGCAAGCAGACGGGCCGGGTCGAGTTGGATTTATGTCTACTAGGGGTGGAAATAGGTCAGGTTAGGCCAGACTTTTCCTTAAACAGACAGAGCCTATATATCGCATAAAAGCCTGAGTCTGGCCTGTTAGTCTGTTTAAAAAAAATTTCAAAGCTTAGGTCTAGTCTGTTTAAAAGTCTGGTCTGTTAGTCTGTTTAAAGGTCTGCTAAGGTAAAAAAAAATTAAAAAGTATGTATAAACTAGAAAAATTTATTATAATTATAGCAATTAGTGTGAATTTTTTTACATTGTTATCACAATTATTTTCATCATCTTCCAATGTTACGTAATGTATTCGAAGGATTTGTGGTGTCTTTGATGTTAAAATATATAAAACAATGTCTTTTAATATCATAATAAAATATAATATTGTTCTAATATTTAACATGAGTTAGATTATGTACTTAAGCTCAAGTCTCAACAATAAAATATCCAATTATTAAATAGTTTAATCTCTAAGTCCTGATGGATTTACATAAAAATTATTATTTAATTTTTATTTTACATATTATAAAAAATAATTTATAAATATATAATATTATTACATATGCCACACTGTTAGCTTAATAGGCCTTTTAAAAGGCCTGAATCTGACCTGTTTAAGTTAAATAGGCTATTGGAGAAGCCTAAGCCTGACCCGTTTACCGAAAAGGTCTGGTCTGGCCTGGCCTGTTATAAGCTAGGCACTAGGCCCTGATAGGTGGTCTGGCCTGTTTCCACCCTTAGTGTCTACTCAAACTCAAAATCCAAAACTCAGATTTAAATTAAGTGGAGTTGAAAACAATGATACCGTCCCGAACCTGTTGAGTTTTGGGTATTCCGAATCCGATGAAAACTCT